TGTAAATGTTAAAACTACATAATTACCAATGAAATTAAAAGATGTATAATCCAAAAATGAAATTTTAGAAAAAGAGTCATGTAATCTAAAAATCAAATAAATAACCACAAGGGTGGTGTACAATTGTTTTGAGTTTGAGCTCTAAATGTCAAGAGTGTCTGAAGGTCCCAAGTTCGAATCGAAGGAGGAATAAAAATCCTCTTGTGGCCATAGAGGTTCAAATACGGTGAATTGAATGATAACGGCGTCAGATTCCAATAATTTCTTGTTGATCAATGATCTCGAATCAAAGATGAATAAGCTCAGTTGTATTTTAGAATGCATTAGTTGATCATTTATATGAATAGTTTACTAATTGAATTTTTTTTTATAAAAACATATATATATTTCAAAAATAGTAATTAATATCTATATAATCATAATTAAATAAGAATACATYGAGATTGTTGTATTTTGTGTTACAAATTGTAATAAGTTAGATAAGAAATGATGTTTTCGTGCATTTTTTACACCATAATAATACAATTGCAACCTTTTCATTTTCCTTAAATTCTACATCAATCGCACATATTGACAACCTAAAACTTCAACAAATATTCTCCTTACTTTTTCACTTTATTGTTTTCATTTATTTTCTTTTATATATATATATATATATGTGTGTGTGTGTGTGTGTATGTGTGGAGGGGTTGGGTTCACGTGAGACTTGCAGTCTGTTTTCGTGAGACCTGTAATTAGACAACTTTTTTTATACTTGAAACTTCACAGCAAAACACAATTAAGGTAAAAAAAAAAAGTCGAACCTTCACAGCAAAAATATTGTGAAGGTTACCATCATATCGTTTTGTTGTGAACTTTCAAGTATAAAAAAGTGGTTTCACGGGTCTCACGAAAACAGACTACAAGTCTCACATGATCTCAAGTTTTTACATACAGGCAACTTTCTTATAAATTAATAAATATTACATTGCGTAAATTCAACTTTAGAAAAAGACATTGGGTTATTTGGGTTTACATTTATCGAATTTAAAGGATMATTTACCAAATGTTTATCGAATAGACATTTATTAGGTGTTACTTACTCTTGAGATAAGCATAACAAGAACCTAGAATCTTATTTGTAGGCAAGAAGCATAATAATAACCGATAATCTTATCCGGTAAATAAAGAAGTAGACCCTTATCCGATAAACGCTTACTGGATAAAAAACGTTTATCATACAACAATCCATTTTAATAACCGAGAATGTTACCCGATAAGRTAAGCCTGTAAGGGCTGGATGTTCWTGTTAATAAGTGTTTACCTGRAAAATGTTCAGTAAACGAACTTTAAATATAAAAACTGTTAAATATTTTGTTTAGTAATTAACTTTTTGTATATACAATAATACAAATATTTTAATTGTTAAATATTTACATAAACTTATTAATAGCRTTCTATTAAAAATCATTGGTTTCACATTATCTTTTTGAAAATATTTACTTAATTACAAATATATGTAAATTCGCATTCTTTTTAAACAAATAATTAAAGGATCTTAATTTGACCTAACGATATGTGAGTCTTTGGTTTCTTAAGAGTTTAGATGTTCAAACCTCATCAAATTATTATGAATCTACTGATATTATTGGCCTAGAAAGTATCTTGTAAATGATACAAAAACATATATAGTCTATATTCTGTTTGTGTTATCGTTACTGTTATTTTGATTTCTAATACCAGTTTAAGATAATAAAAAAAGAAACGATCATGTTTTATAGATTTTAAGTGGTCGTCAACATTTACACCGTAATTAATATGCATAATAAACGGGACGATATTTCTATATTGCTTAACTCGATATCATTACCTCTGAAGTTAGTAAGAGCGGAAACTTCGACTTATTTATAGATAAATTTATCGAGTTTGATGATACTTTATCTTCAACAAACAAAGGCGGTGGATTCACTGAATCTATGGTGGTGAATACATCCTTTGTGATTTTCTTCCAATTTGGTAGTTTAATTTCTCATCCTTTGTGATTTTCTTCCAATTTGGTAGTTCTTCATATACCCTACTTAATTAGGGTTCGATGGTTATAATTTGTAGTTCTTCATAAATCCTCGAATCCCGTAATACGTATCTCAATATAATTTATATTGGGGTTCGATGATTTATGATTGACGTTAAAAACAACTTCCAAATTGGAACCCCATAATGTAAGTTCTGTTCACGGATAAAATTGATGAACTATTTGAGTTGTTAGGTTCGATCTTCAATCAATCTAGAAACATGAAAATAAATGCCGAGGAGGTTTAATTGGTTAAAATAAATTGCTAAATTTATAAATCAGATGTAAAATAAAACTCTAGATTCAACATCCATAAAAAAAACACAATACCTTTGAAAACAATTTCTTAAGCATTAGATGTTTCACTTTTAATTATTATTGCTCAATAAAATTATCAGGAGGTCTCAGGTTTAAGTCCAAGGAGAAATAAAAATCCTCTTGTGACCACGGAGGTTCAAATACGGTGACTCCGGGCTATCTGCAAAGAAGGTGGTCGGCCTGGGATTTGTCGAATCGCATAACGGGTTGAATATCAAGGTTAATAAAAAATAATAGTTATACGTAACATTTTAAAATTCAAATTTACAGCTTAGCATTGCATATGTACAATTTTCTTAAAGCTCCACATTTGACTCGATAAAAACAGCTGATAAACGCGTTCAAATATAAAACAAAAATTGAGCCATAATACGATATAATACTCCGTAAAACTCATTTTTTCTATAATTTCGTTCTTAGTTATAATCTTACATCCCGATTAATGCATATATTATATGAAAGGTAAAAATCTAAAGACAATCTTGAAAAAGCGGAACTAAATAACCATAAAAGAACAGATAAAAATTATATCAAAATGTTACTGATGTTAAATTAAAGATAATAAAATGATCATTTTTTGATGTAATTTGTTTTTTACTCCATTTTTTTTGTATTTCACTTATTTGTTGCAATTTGTTTTACTTCTTTTTAATTAAATCTGTTGGATGATCTCAATCCGATGGTTTAATTGATTATTCCGATTTATCTTTCTTTCATTCAAGATTCTTTTCTGATCTCATCTAATTGCAAAAATTAATATTATATATATATATATAGAGAGAGAGAGAGAGAGAGTTGGGTTCACGTGAGATCAAGGGTTTTTCGTGAGACCCTTAAAACCAATTAATGTTCATTGATCAACTTTATAAACTAATGATCTAATGGTCTAAAGTTGCATGGTGACAATTTTGTGATTATTGAGAAGTCTCGTGTCGTTTATAAATGTTCAGATTGTTATATTGTAGATCTAATTCAAGGGTCGAGAATTGGTGTTACGGGTCTCACGAAAAACATTTGGTCTCACTTGTTCCCAAATCAATCTCTCTCTCTCTCTCTCTCTCTCTCTCTATATATATATATATATATTTTATGTGTATTTAAGTTTTAACGTATGGATGGTGGTTAAAAGTAATTTTAAAAAATTACCTTATAAGGAAAAAAAGGGTTTTTTATCGTTTGAAAAAATCCACTGATTTGCCTTATATATACAAACCCCCAACACTCATTTCACACTCATATTCTCTCTCTATCTCTCTCTCTCACTAGAATTCTGTAAGATTTTCATCATGGAAATGACAGGGAAGGCATCGGAGAATGGAGGTCAATCTGCCATCGAAGAGAGAAGGTATGTATACATACAAATCCTATCTCATGTGTGTGTGATTTTATGTGATTTCAATCGATTGTGATGGATGACGGATGAGGGTTTTTTTTTGTTTTTCTTGCAACACTGATTCTTTAATTTGGGTTTCATTAATTATTTCCTTTTTGATGGTGCGTGTATGTTGATCTGAAGCAGTCTGATCGGAGATCTAAACGAAGTTGGTGCGGATTCCGGTGGCGAAACTGAACCAGAAGTTGTTACCGATGGTGGGGTGGTTACCGGTGTCGGAAGT